GAGGGAGGGAGGGAGGGAGGGAGGGAGGGAGAGAGAGAGAGAGAACAAAAGAAAGGCAACTGCCCTTGTGACAGCTCTACAGATAGCTACATCCAGCGGACAAGGTCCCCAGAGTAGTAATGCTCCCATCATAGCCTGCTAGAACTGTGGCCAAGAAGGACATTACAAGAAAGATTGCCCATGATAGAGATGGATGCCACCAACACCCTAAACAATCACTGAAGGGGTGGGGGTCACAGGTAGTTGAACTACACTCACAGGCAAGGCCCAGTGAACAAATCCCTTACTTCAAACAGTCCAACGATAGGACTGATGGGTCCTGGGGAATCCCTCTTAGGTTCCCAATTATTCAGACTGTTATTTATGTACAGGAGCCCGGGATGACCTTGACTGTCAAAGGAAGGAAAATTAATTTCTTTATTGACACTGGTGCCACTTTTTCTGTCATCCTCTCAAACCCAGGCCTCCCCTCCTCTCGCAGTACAGCCATAAGGGGAGTGTCAGGAAAGCCTGTGACTGGATATTGCTCCCCACCTCTTAGCTGCTCTTGGGATGAGCTCCTTTTCTCATATGCCCTTTTGATAATGCCTGAAAGTCCCACTCCCCTATGGAAAGAGATAAGATATTGTGTCCAACTGTAACTAAAATATACATATTCTTTATTTTATTTTCAGCTGCCCATAAACATCCTAATGTTCAGTGTTAGAGAGCATTTGTTTCAGTAGCATCATACTTCTCAAAGACAGCACAAATAGTACTTTGTCTGCCCCTACTAGAAACTGACATTAACTAGAAGTCTTGACTACACAGTGAGAAAAAGGTCAGGAGCAATAGGACCTGCTCCTGTCCAGATCCATATCAAAGATTCTATACCCTTTCCCCACCAAAATCAGTATCCCCTGAAACCAGAGACTAAACAATGGTCACAAGTTATAATAGGTAACTTTAAGTGACAGGGCCTCTTGAGATGCTGTGAAAGTACATGTAATACACCCACTGAATGTCCAATAGAGAATGGAGACAAATACAGGACCTCAGATCAACAAATGAGGTAGTGGTTCCCATACATCCTTGGTCTCCGATCCTTACATCTTGTTATCCCAGATTCTTAAACATTCCAACTGGTTCCATTTTAGATGCATTTTCCTGTATACCTCTGCATGAGATTCTTAATACCTGGTTGTTTTGAGGTTCCCTCTGACAAGTCCATTTAATTGACCTTGACTGTTCTACCCCCTGCCTCAGGAAGACATGAGGCTGGCAGGCCAATACCAAGGTGAGCTGAGGCAAGCCAATCTGTCTGTCATCCTGCAGCAACCAAGCCTGCCCACAGTGGGGATGCCCACTGCACAACTTTTCCAAACCCCAACTAGCATAAACTTGGACCAATAGTATTGGTACTTCTTCCAATTAATAAAGACAATATATATTTTTCACTCAGCAAACAAGTGAAGTTGAACCAATAGAATTCCCAGGTGCAAAACAATTTCTGACTAGAAACCCTGCATTTTTTAGAATATTTATTTTTTAGTTATACATAGACAAAATATCTTTATTTTATTTTCATGTGGCTCTGAGGTTCAAACCCAGTGCCTCAGGCATGCTAGGCGAGTGCTATACATACCTCTGAGCCAAAACTCCAACCCACAACCCTTCATTTCCATGAATACTAAAGAAAATGTGCAGTGTGAAAGAAATGTTGCCATGTGGTCCATTTCACATGGTGAAATAAGGAAGTTGACACATTAAGATATCATAAAACAGTGCATAAATACTTTGCTCTTTTTACTGGATCCAAGAGGTTTAAAGAAGTATGAAGTTTCAATGCATTTTGTTGATGGCTTTCTATGATAGATAACCACACAGTCTTTGGTAGTTGTTAGTTCAGGATGCCAGGAACACTATGGGGAGCACTGCTAATGCTACAATCTGAGAGCCCCTGGCACTCCAACCTCAGTAATACTAAGGGAGCTAGTTGTATTCTGCCTATTTGTGATTGCATCTAAATTAACCAAAAGAAGCCTAAGATGTATGAGTATCTCTTCTTTCCTGATGCTACTTCTGAATTTCCTTCCTGCCCCATGTATACCAGGACATGTTGGGTTTTAATGCTTAGTGGGTGAGCAACATGCAGAAAGGGCACTAAGAGAACAACTTCCTCTGTAAGCAGCCCAAACAAGTGTTCATGCAGTTCCTCATCTGAGAGTTCTTCAGTTCTTCCAAATCATGTTCCCTCTGCACATCAACACATGAACCTACATCTACCTGGAACAGGCCACATTTTCTTGCAGCAGTGTACTTTGTGCTTACTTCTGAATCTAGGCCTCAGGGCCCTCTTTGGTCTATGGACAATTCTTCCTTATTCACTTTCCTTTGTTGGAACAAAGCTCTATTACATCTTGGGGTTCTCACACTTTCAGTGTTAACCTTACTTCAAATATGCAACTACACATAAGTATATACATATATATGTGTGTAGATTTATCTATCTATCTACTTATACATATACATATGTTTTATTCAAATTACAGGGGTGAATATTTGTTTACAACTATATCATGAATGATATGCTCAATAGAATAGTGGCCTTCTGGGATGGAATTTATATCTAGTTACAAAGGGTAACCAAGGGGAGAGTGATTAAGAGATAACTGTAGGAATTAATAAAATTGTTTTTGAGAAGATAAATTTATCAAAATAGCCCCCAGTCTGGGTTAAAATGTCTTGTATTCCCAACTATCTAGGTTCAGGACTTTGGGTGAGAAACCTAATTACTCTAAGGCAGATAAGGGCAATATTGTTCAATGTCTACTTAAGAAAAAGCCAAGGGGCTGGAGTTGTAGCTCAGTGCTAGAGTGCTCACCTAGCATGTGTGAGGCACTGGGATTGAGCCTTAGCACCATACCAAATAAGTAAATAAATTATGTCCATCTGCAACTACAGAAAAAAAATTTAAAAAAAGAAAAGCCAAGATGACAACAGAAGACTTTCTCAGAGAAAAGACCCAAGAGCCCTACAAAGAAAAAGACTGAGATAAACCATAATGTGAAAGAACTATTGTCAAATTGAGTAATAAGCTCCACTCCATAAAAGACAGCATTAAAATATCTGCCCTGCAACGTGTAAGGACTGTCTTTTGGGGTAGGATAAGTGCATTTCAGAAGAGGGTGGAAGAGAGAGCCAACTACAAGTGGTAGTAATTTAGTTTATCAGTCGGTTCTCTGCTTCTCA